AGCTCTTTAGTAATTAACTTATAATTATTACTTATAATACTTTTAGCTATACCTAAGTAATAATTACTCTATAACTCTTATTGAGGCCTTAACTAATTACTAAGACCTTTAAAGACCTATAATTACTCAACTAGACCTATAGAATGACTTAATACTATTTATAGTTCTCAATCCCTAACTTACTGCTAACATAAACCCACTATCAGTTAGCTGGCCGTAACACTAGGGGCCCTCTAGGGGGCCTCTAGTAGCTACTATATAGGCTTAATAGCTAAAGCTCTTTATTATTATTATAAGTAATTATAATAAGCTATCTCTTACTATTTTATAATAGCTTTAATCTATTTTAACTAATAAGAAATAACTATTAGGTAATTAATATTAACCTTATTAACTAGTTATAGTTAAGCATTTAGGGGGCCCCTAGTTTAGCGCTATATTAGTGCGGTTTTTTTACCTATAAACTTAAGTAAAGCTCCTTCTTATATTATTAATTCTATTATTACTATATAGAAGGCGCTTTGCTTAGATGAGGCCAGCTTTATAGGCATAAAGAGAGGATCCCGTTCAAGCCACTCTGTTCTCCCCGAACTTCTGCCTTTACTCGGGCTACGGCCTTGGCTTTCTCGAGAGGATCCGCATGCACGCCGTCGGAGATTCAACTATACGCGAAGCCGGTCATATCATTATACATGGTTCTCTGGGTAGCGTTATGCAGCAGAACAGCCATATTTCGGTTTCAGCGGCTCGCACCAACGCAACATGAGAGGCAATAACAGTCAATCAGAGGTTGATGTCGACAACTGCAGCTTATCGAGTGTACTTGGCTTCCTCTAAAGGATGATTGCACGCTTTGAGACCCGTTCTTCCGGGTGATGTTGAGATTTCTTGGTAAGTGGCAGGCAGAAAGGATATATTCGACAGACTAAGTCACATATGATGCCTAGCCACTGACATGAACCAACACAGGTAACCCAACTTGTTGTGGTCCTCCTCCCTCGCAGGTGGTTATTTCAACTACAGGAGGATGAGATGACGGCCCATTGCGACTTCTCGCCCCTCACGGTCTTTCCTCGCGACGCTAGGCTAGGCCAGGCCTGTAACATCATTGCTAGACTATACGTTTTAACTAGGTGTCAATCTTTTCCGGTACTTTGCCAAAACAAATATATCTGCAAAAGGTCATAGGGCTCAAGAGCATGAGCTTTCTGGAAATACGATCAAGCAGGAGATGCTGTCTCCGACCACCCTATCGTTACCACCGGAGCCTAGGCGAGGCTTTAGAGTAAACCCACAAATCTCCAAGAGCTCATGCCTGCAAATACGAGTCCCTTATCCTCAAATTTGCTCCCCGACTGTATAATTGCCGTACACATCAGCTGGAAGAAGCCAGGTCTGGTATCTGTCTTTGGCGCACTGGCCGGTCATCGTCTTCTCGGGCTGGTGGGGATTCCTACTCGAGTACTAGTTCGGCAATGCAGCCGGCTTTCGATTTGCCTCGCAGCGGTCTCGCGGCAGAGTTTGTAATTGCCGTAAGCAAAATGTCACCCCTTGCCCCAGAGTACATATTTGAGATATACATATATGTATATAGATCACTCGAATACATCTTGTAAGAATGGAATGAAAGTCTTAGGCTAGAGAATGTCCTGATATGTCCTGGTCACCTCGTATTTTCCTGAGCAGGAGACCAGGCTTCTGATGCAGCGGGCATCTCACTACGACGACAAACCACACATCTTCATAATTCGTTACCTTGTATTCATCGTCGAGTGGGCGATTAGCTTGATGGAGCGGTCATATCATCTATCCAACGGCAGCATCACCTTCAGCAGCATGCTTGTTAGGCGTCAAAATTAAGCATAACCAGCAAAGAAAGCTTGAAACAGTACAGGGGCTATTTTTACAAAAACCAACTCGGGAGAATGTTTCCTGTGGCCTGGAGGCTTATGAGCCTAGAGATGGACAGATTGTAGTAACCCACAAGCAGGAAAGATGCTCGTAATGTCATCGCTCAATAGCTTAACTATGCGGAGTAGCAGTCTAGTACGCAGCTGCCCGAGCCTTGATTGGCAAAGCCGTCGTCTCCTGCTTGACGAGGCCACATCGATGTTAGAGCCGGAGTCTGGAAAGTCGATCAAAGCAAAGGTGATCCAAGTAGCACTATACACTTCAACGAGGGGGTAATAACAATAAGAGTCGCACATCACTTGTCCACGATCAAACAAGTCCATGGTCCAGAGTGGAAGTCCTAAACAGTTGTTGCTAAAGAAGCGTATCTATTATGAGGCGTGCTAGATAGAACGGCATAAGTAGGTATCTTAGGGCACCTTGAAAAATAATTAAAATCTTCAAGACAGTCGAAATTGGCGTCGCTAGGTACGTTCCCTTCTCGCTTCCCCCCCGACCTAAGGTACCTAGGTACCTAGGTACCTCGGGCACCTTACGAAGGTCCAGGTACCTTAGGTAAGGTAGGCACTGTACTAGCCCCTTATCTTATCTCTTACTCAAGTCCTGACTCCGACGCCAGGATTGGCCTCGAATTTGACAACTTCCATCAGTAAGTCCGACTTCGCCGCCGCAAGGTAAGGCGTGCCCTGTTGTGCGCCTCTTGGAATAGCGCCGCCCTCCCACATCAAAGCAACGAAGTCATCACGGGCGACTGAAGCATACGGAATGCAGCGCAAAAGACAGCCATCGCCAGCAGGCGCAGGCACTCCGCCCATATCGAAGCGCCCACGTCACACCGAAGCGCGGCCTTGCAGTCGCCCAACCCACAGCCCCGATTCCGAAATCGCCTTTGCGGCCGACGACTTTCTCTCCTCGCTCTCTGACGAGCTTCTTATCCGTATATTATCCTTCCTGCCGACCTCGATTCTCCTGGGCATTGCTCCCGTGTCGCGACGTTTCTACCGTCTGTCCTCCGACTCGCAACTATGGCGGTTATTATACTATCACCGTTTCGTTCTTCCGCGGGCTCTACGAATACCTGGTTTCCGGGATGGTTCTGCCAAAGAAGGCACAAGAGTCCACTTCTCATCTAGGCGAACGGTTTGGGCGGACGGCGGATGGGGTCGACGAGACGGTTCAGGGCAGTCGCTCGACTGGAAACGTCAGTATAAGCTACGGCACAACTGGGCCCGGGGAAAAGCCACGGTCGAGGAGCTCAAGGTTGGAGACACTGGTTTTAACGATTTGTCAAGGACAAGAAAGACTCTGGCCAAAGTCATCGAAGGCATTGCAGTCACTGCAGACGGGACATCAGGACTGCGAGCCTGGAATCTGAAGACCAGGGAACCGATAGCCCAGATTGGGCTCAAAGACGGCACCGACGATTCAATACCGACATGTATAGCGATAGACGACCAAGCGTTCGGTGCGAAAAACTTAGACGTCTCTGTTGGGTTTCTGGACGGCAGCTTCGGCGTGTGGAGGCTTCATCTCGACAACGGCAGGTTTCTGAGGAGATACAAACACGAAACATCCAGCAACGGCTCGCTGATCGAGATCGCCTATCGCCATCCCTTCATCCTCACGGCCACAGAATCGGTCCTGATTTCCTTGTACAACTTCGAGCAGACCATGCCCTCCAAATCGGGAACGAGTGCCCAGCAAAACAAACAGGCAATCGTGCAGGATGAAAGCGAGACAGTGTCGGGGTCAGAGAGCGCCACCCTCCGAGAATCAGAAAGCGAGATGCAGCCAGGCCTTCTCAAGCAAGCCCGACCGTCGAGAGTAGACAATTCCCACAGCGGTGTGCGAGACACGGTTTCTCTTCGAGCCCCGATCTTGCTTACATCTCTCAAGTCACACTCCTCTCGGGCTCCGTTGGCATTGTCCATTCGGCAAATGGCGTCGTACGTGATTGCTTCAATAGCCTACACGTTTCCTACTCGTGAAGGGTGGTCCATCGGTATCCAAGACCTTCAAGTACGACGTCGAGGCGATGGTGGATTGTCCACCGCCGAGATTGAATCAACTCGGCTTGCTTTCACCAGCTCAGTAAAGGCCCCATCTTCACTTCCACCAAGCTCCCGAGAGAACTTCGAAAACGGAAGGCCTTCACCACCGCTCGCGTCTGACGGACCGACAACTCTATGTTACAACCATCCCTATCTATTGGCAGCAATGGCGGACAACACCCTGATTCTACATGTGTGCACGTCCAACGCTACTCAACTCTCGGTCTCTTCGGGCATCCGTCTCTGGGGCCACACATCAGGCATCAGCGATGCGGAGATAACGGCGCGGGGGAAGGCTGTCAGTGTCAGCTCACGAGGAGAGGAGATTCGAGTGTGGGAGCTCGAGGGACGCGTCAGTGGCAAGAGTATTGAAATTCGACAAAATTCCATCACAGACGTCGCCTCCCAAGAGGGTGTCAGATTCGTGTCTGAGCCAGCGCCGGGATGGGATGATCGACGGAACTGGGTGGGTTTCGACGACGAGATGGTCATCGTATTGAAAGAATCCAAGGATGGCAAAGAAAGCCTTGTGGTGTACGACTTTTCCTGAGGCTGGCGGCGAGTCATCACGGCAGCCTAGGTAGGCTTACACGAGCGACTTTGCCATGCAACTAGGCAACCAACACGCCTCTAGGCTTCCTAATACTGAGGCACCCGGTCTGGTCTGCCCGTAGAATGGCTGAAAGGCAACTATTCGCAACTTGGAGGCGGGGAAAGCCGTGTCAATAGTCGTGTCGCGTCCCCCCTCCCCAGGGGGGGTCGTGGGATCTTGTGCGGCTCAGGCGTCCGCTTCCAGAGATCTGGCGGCTTTCTGCGAGCTGGCACAAACCTCCATGTGCCGCAACAATTTGGGTATCTGTCTTGAGAGTATGCCTGCCACCGGCGTAGACGTCGATGACAGAAATGCCACAGAAGGTAACAATACTCTCAGCCTGACAAAAGCCATCTCGGTGACCTGGGTAAGCATGTGGTCAGTAGAGTCAGTGTCGACAGCTGTCTTGCGGGCTGCCGTCATCCAAGCTACACAGGCATACGCCACCCAGTTTCTGGCCACATTTCGCAATACATTGGCCGGACTCTAGCGGCGGTCGAGACTGAAGGCTCGTCGCTGAGAATATCAGCGATTTACTGGAGAACGCAATCCAGCCCTCATGCGTCAGTGGATCGTGGCCGTCATGGCCCCGCTCCTGTCATGATGAGGGTTCTCCGTGTTCTGTGACATGCTGTTGCCTCTGGCAGATTATGTCAACTTCAGGAAGACTTAGCCCTCGTGTCGCGTGGATAAGCTGGGTACCTGGGTGGGGAGCTTTCTAATCGTTATCCACGTACCATCATCTGAGCTCCTCCGGTGTTACGACCACAAGTATCAAATGTGAACTTGCGTAAACATGGTACTGCACTCAGCAATGAGACGGGACGCAAGCATTTAGGCTGGGGTGCCAAATAAAAGGCATGGTCTATATACGTCGAAGAAGCCCAGAACCCTGCTCCCACGCAGAGCTTGAACGGTTGACGGGTAGCGAAATTGCACTGTGCAAGCCTATTCATGCGTTCATTGCCGTCGATACAGAGTGCTAGCAACATGACCGCATGTAGGTATGTTAGGATCACAATCCGTTGTGTGATCAATCCAATGTCGTTCATGATCAGGGCAACGAACGAATCATCGATTCACAGCAAAGCGGTGGCGCGAGCCTGTCAACACCGATTGAAGAACCACAAACACACGAGCCATATTTGTTGACCCGTCGTAAGGCGGATGTTGTCTGTCACATCAATGGCTATCGCCGAATTGAGAACAGAGCCCTGACCAAGAAAAACAGTTGGGGGCAGAGTGCAGGAATGCCACTGGGAGAGGACGGACAGAAGAGTATCTTAAGGTAGATTGAACTGATGCGATTGATAAGATTAGATTCGTCACTCGATGGCCAAGACTACAGGCGCCCGATCATAGTGCCTAACCCACGACTCGGGCAACTCGATAAGACATTGCGCCGCTCTCCAGGCACTGATTAACAAGATCTAAACACTCGACGAAAATGCTTTCTAAAGGTGCTCCTTGACCAACTATCTGATGAGTGACTCAATCGCGACACGATGGCCTGGTTTGGTTTAGGCCCAAATACTCTGCGTTACAGACTCACTCTGCTGAGAAATCTAGGCCTGTTTTGCAGGCGATGAAAGGCATACACCTCTGCCTAGTTGCCGCTGATTGCCCCATTCCTACTTGCCGGATAAGGCAGGCCGTTTCTGTGTCTATGTAAAGCGAAACGCGTCCTCGAATGGTGAGGTGCTTAATATTCCCCTCACTTGGGGGTGCAATCGGGGGTGACAAAGAATGAGGATGGCGCGCGTTATCGCTGCGTCTTCTTGGTGGGCAATTGGTAGACGAGAATCAACGCGCGTGGGGGTCAGAGGGGGGGGGGGGGGTCAGGTAGGATGGGATGGAATGGGAAGATAGCGATCTGTCAGGCGGGCCCAATCCGAGACAGAATTGTTGCGTATCGCGCGTCTCACCAGGAGAGCAGGGAGGATGAGAAGACAAGTCGAGAATATGGGACCTCGATGCCGTTGAAATTGACCGCGACCGCACATCAGATCTTACCCCTCCTTGAGACCCCGTCGTTTCGGTAGAATTGAAAAATACATAGCAATGGCATTATCCCATCGCCGCTAGTCGAGCCCGCCAGATATTGCGGCATGTTATCTGGAGACACGGTTAAAAAGGGACGGTGTCGCCGCAGTGAAGTGCAGGTAAGGTAGTGGTCAATCGACCGACACTTTTGGCATCTGATGAGGGGCATGTGGAAAGGACGATACCAATACCCCCATCCTAGGCTACAACAGAAGTCCAGGGCACCATGATGGGGGTTCAATGGCCGCCGTCGGAAGACGACGGAGTCGCAATGACGGGATGGTGCTCGATAAAGCATCGCACGGTGGTCTCACTCGAAGTCGCTGCTCGTGATCAATTTACTCCCGCAATGGCAGAGCACTCAGAGCACTGGAGGCGGCCACATGAACGGGACGACATCGAGACACGGCGAAAACGACTCGGGCTGAGCTATTGGCAGATGAACCCCTCGGTTGTGAGCTGGTGAGCGGCAGACGAGGACAAACGGGCAATTATGGGCAATGCGCGCCGTTGCCGTTGCCGTCGCCGTCGCCCTCACGCTGCCTTAGAGTCCCGGCGGCGCGGCCCAGCCATCCACGAGACCGCCAACCGACCACCTCTTTCGCACTTTGATAGCGAGAAGACGAGAAGTAGAGGGGGGCTTGGTTGATCATGTGGCGACGCCGCTCGTCTTGGAAGGGTGTGGTCGTCGTCCATTGTCCTGGCAGTGTCTCCTTCTGACTGAGGACACTGATATGGAGAGCGACGTGTCCCGGACATGTCACTCATTGGTCGGTCAGGTTAGAATTGCGAGATAGTCGCATGTGGAGCTGTGATACCGCTCTGCTTCGTCTCCCCATCAGCGTAAATCAGTGTTGCACGACGACCGCAACTGAGTGCTCTGGCCTAGTCGCCGCTATCGATAACACACAGCTTGCTGCAGCGCCCAGACCGATGAGACAGTCCAGCCGAAGCCATGAGTGGAGGATGGCGACAAGACGCTCGCTGGCAACATTGCGTCGGCCGTCGCGGTGTTGCTGTTTCTAAGGCGGCATGTAAAACCTGGGAGGTTTCAATGTCCCTGCTACCCGCGAGAACCGCGCACGGTATTCAGTAGACCTAACGCATCTTGCCTTAGTGCAGGTTGTAGGCGGATTTCGTCTTCGACAATGGCACAACAGCTGCCCGAGGACTCGGTACGGCGTCTACAACTGGGCTTTTGTGAAAGGGCGGTTGGAACGGGCTGGCTCGATTATTCGTGCCGAGGAGGAAGCTTGGGACACATAATAGATTCCTATCAGGTTCCCAGCCTGCATGCGCCGTTTCCGTGAGCAAGCTGGGACGCTTCGGCGAGAGGCCTGATGTGACGGCCGCGAAAGAGAAGAAACCTTCGCTCCGAGTGCCGAGTGTCGAGTCTTGCGTGTTTTTGTCTCCGACTCCGCCGCCACTCAGTAGTTGCACCGACGGAAAAAGCAGAGACATGTTCCCCCCTTCCTTCACAGCGTGGGATGCTGCTGGTGAGTCCATCGTTTGGTCTCACCCATCCGGAAAGTTCGGGGGTGGAGGATTCGTCTCTCGCACTCCGTCGACGACGAAGAAGTGTGGAACGAGTCTGCGGGGTTCATCTCAGTGACGACACCGGTACACTCCGTCGTACAAGGCTGTTCGGGATAGGAACCTAAAGTCCGTCAAGTCCGAAGGCGAATGTGGCCGGAGTTCGTCTTCGTGTTGTCAGCAGCTGTAGACTGGTGTAGTAGAAATTAGAATTCGCAACAAATGATTCCGTTGGCGTGTCCGCTTCAACGCTCAGTAGAAACGGAGCCTTGGGCTTTGGGGGCCAGACAACGGTTGGTTGGCAGGGTCAGGACCCCTCTTTAGCAAGCATGCCGAATCTATCTAGCTGCAGGCGCCGTGTCGGAATGAAAGTCGGATTTTCCCAGGGATTGCCTGCTGCAATGAATGGTGGATGAGTCAAAGGAGCCATGACAGTTGTGGCGGTGCAGCGCAACATGCTGCCATGCCCTGTTGTGTACCTAGTAGCTGAAGGCAACGGATACCGATGGAAGCGCGGCGATTTTGCTCGTGAGGGGCGGGATCAATTGATGTCGTTCGGTCCATTGATGTCTTTGGTGGGATCCAATGGATGAAGGTAAGAGAGGTAGTGGTAATGGAGGAGTCGCAGGCAGAGGGAGATGGTATACCGGGGTAGGCCAGCTACGAGACCAGGGGCAGCGCAAGCGCAGGGCCGAGAGATCTAGGCTTGACTTGCATATGTCCGCTTGTGCGTATGGATATGTGTATGTAGGGCGGTTGTTCATGGTTTGCATCGCTACAAGTACCTCGGCTTCCTTAGAGCCATAGTATGTTTCGTGCGTATTGTGTGATGTGTTGTTCAAGCGGTAAGAGAAGAATTGGAGTTGTGGTCAGGTTGTTGCCCACCTCAGCTGAGGGTAACGGGAGTCGTGGGACTGCAAAGAAGGCCTTGGTACCGGTTCCGCAAAGGCCTGCGCCTGGGACAGTGCTTGGAAGTTGGCTCAGTCCGGTGTCATCGTCGGCTGGCGCGTACTGTCCTGGCGGGAATGGCTGTGAGTTGAGGGAAAAGAAGACGGGAGTTGGTGGAGAGAAGAGGTAGGCCGGGTACTTCAAAGCGAGATGCTGTACATGGTAGAGGTCGGGTACCTAAGAACAAGGTACCTAGGTGTAGAGGCGGGCAACTTCTTCGACATCCACATTGGCCGTGACGTCTTATCGATAAGTGGCGATCAAGCTGAGGTACCTAGGTAGGCACTACCTTCGATAAGGTACCTCACTGTAAGGTGGCTAGACCAGAAAGGGCTAAGGGAGTAAGTGTTTCGAAATCATAGGTACCTCACGGTTCCTACCTTACTAGGAGAGGGCCACTGTTCTGGCTCTTTCTTGCAGTTGCACTTCCACTT